CACTGGTACGAAAATTTCAAGGCAGACGGTGTACGGCAGATTGGTCTATATGCTCGTAGACCTGTCATGCCAGATGCGTTCCACTTACTGCAACTCATTGTCGCCTGCGGTTAGCCTGGAGTAGAGAGCACGCATTGTGGACACCGCAACAGTGTGGGCTTGTGTGATGTTTTCCGACGAGTCCAGGTTTAGCTTTCAGTCTGATTCTCGCCGGACTTTCATATGGAGAGCTCCAGGTACCCGTTGCCACCAAGAAAACATCCTGAACGAAACCGTTACGGTGGTGCAGGAGTGCTCATTTGGAGTGGAACTATTCTGGGTTCCAGAACTGACCTGCATGTTCAAATTGGAACCATGACAAGCCAAATCTATCGGGACGTCATTCTGGAACAACATGTACGTTTGTTTCGGGGCGCCATGGGCGCACAATTTGTGTTTATGGATGACAACGCCCGTCCTCACCGTGCAAACATCGTAAGCGAATACCTTCAATCGGAGGATATCACCCGTATGGTCTGGCCAGCATTCTCACCGGACTTGAATCCAGTAGAGCACGTGTGGGACATGCTTGGCCGACGAGTTGCATTCCGTCAACCTTCTCCTACATGTCTACCGGAACTTCGGAGAGCATTGCTTTTTGAGTGGTGTAATATTCCCCAAGATCAGATCGATAATTTGATACTCAGCATGCCTAGGTGTTGTACGGACTATATTGCATCGTCTGGGAGACATACAATGTATTAACAATCATGCTAACCATGTAATATTGCTTTTTTGTAAATATTTTTTTTTTTTTTTTTTTTTTTTTGTAATTTTCTCCAGGGAGAAAAAATCGCTAATTTTTTTAATAGTATCAAACATATAGCTTCTTTTTTTTGCTCTTAACCTTTTGTTTAATAAATAAGCTTTACAAATAAGTCAAATTTGTTTTGCTTCTAACACTTTCTTTACCTGATTTTGCATTATCCTTAATTTATGGACACGAGTGTAGTTTAAGTTGTTGCAATAAATAAGATTTGAATCAGTAAGTTTTTTATTACTGTTATTTTATTTTCTCATTTAGAACGTACTGTATAATTAAGTAAGTTTTTAACTTCTATTATTTTTCTTTCTCATTTTGAATGTATTGTGTGTTTTAGGTTCTCATGTTCTTAAGTTCGAATTTCAAGTCTCAAGTGCGTTTAATCGCGACTGAATTACGGAGAAGAAAATATAATATTGTTATATGTTCAACATTCACCATTAGTACATGGTGAATGTCGACATTGACCGGCGTAAGTCAGAAATAAGAGTATTTGGAAAATATTTCGGATATACACCAAGAGACTGTGTGAATGTTGACATTCACCGGTGAAAGTCGACATTCTCCAGATTTCGGTGTTTCACCGTAACATATAAATGAATTATTTTAAAAAAATCCACTTTACTCCCGGAAAAAAATCAACTTATCATTTGTATCTTAACGTTTTTGTTAGTGGTCATAAATTAAGTAAATTGGTAACTATACTAAGTAATTATTTAATTTTAAGTTTTTTTTTTTTTTTTTTTTTTTTTTTTTTTTTTTTTTTTTTTTTTTAAGTCCAAAAGGGCAATTTGCCCTGAAGGACTGTTAATTCCGTTTTGGTATTTTGCGTTGAAAGCTATGGTGAATCACTTTTCAAATTGTTGGCCACCAATTATTATCACCCTGTATTATATTTAAAGAAATTAAATAATGAATCTTGCATAAATGTATTATGTTTCTCGCATTGGGGTAAAACAGCGGTACCTAGAGCCGTCAAAATTTGAATAACGTAATCTTCCATAGAAAATAGGCATGTGAAAGCCATAATTTGAATTTGAAATTTGTTGTATTATCGATTTCAGATTTTGTAACACTTCAACGAATTTTTGATTTAAAAAAAAAAAAAAAAAAAAAAAAAAAAAAAAAAAACTAAACGATTTCAAAGCGAGCAATGCCAACACTGTAAAAAAAATATATCTTCAGCGCACGAGACTGTGTATCGGAAATTCTAAAGTTCATTTTAAAATTAATGTGCTCATTTTAAAATTAATGTGCGACATTGCTGTTGAACTGAATTTTATAGTTTGAGTACGTAGAACATGATATTTAGTAAATAAAGGTAACACACAAAACGTTAAAAACGCCTCTTAAGACGTAATTTAAAATCTGAAAACTTTCAGAATTTTTTTTTTATTTTCGTAATTTCCTTTTTTATTTTTTATATATTTTTGCTGTATTTAATCTTACCGTGAGAATCTTGGACTATCTGTTCTGAGATTTACATTGCATTTTATGTTTTACCCTCATTATTCAATATAGAAGAAAGTCATATTCTAGGTACGGAATTCTTTTTTATTGTGAGTAATCGTTGAATAGTGACGCCAGAGCATCAGTTAATTTTTTTTTAAAAAACCGTTCAGGAAGTCTGCAGTTGGCAACAGTACGAACCCCGATAAATAAACCGTAAATTCTTTTAAGGAAGTTAAGCTTTAACAGCTGTTTTCTGAAGTGAACTTGAAGGAAACGGGCAATTTATGTGGATATAAAATCTCCCCAGACATGCACATTAACGTTATATTGCCATTATAGCCCCCCTTGCGTTACTGATACGACCGCTCGTTCTCTAAAATTACTTTTGCATAGGCCCGAATTATCGCTAAGTGCTCTCTGTTTGTGCAGTTGTGCTTTCGGGCTGCGACTTTGTAAATACGTTTTCTACATTTCATGGATTTTTTGCAGATTCTTTTTTCTGTCTCTTCATTAGTATTTGTATAACGTTTCGATGTCTCCAGGTCTTGAATGAATGCTTTATTTAAGTGGATCATGGATATCGTTTGGAAGTTTCAATGCTTTTATAATGCTAAAGGTCTATTGCTTTCATTTCAGAGATTAGAGTGTATTAAGAATTTCTTTATTTCATTCGCTTCTTGCAAACGACAGGCTCTGATTTATTGTCAGACAAGTTAAGTAAGTCACAACAACACGTATATGAGTAGAGAGATCCGTATTTTGTCAAGTTGATTGTTTTTCTTGAGAGATTAGGTGTATTAAAGGTCTCAAAGACAACAAAAGCCCGGGAAGCCCATAATGTTTTTAAAAAGGGCCTTCTATAAAACTACTGAAAGCTGAATAAATCGTTCCGTATTCGGAGCGTACCCGAACGGGCTTTAAGTAAGGCATGCTCGTGATTTCCTCATGTGTAACAGGAGTATGAGCCAGTCTCTTCTTCCTCTTCTTTGGTAAATAATTTTCACATGCCTTGTCCTAATTAATTAACCCACCACTTAATCTGCTGAAAAATACGAAGCTATCATTTCTAAAAGATTTCTGAAATGAAAGTAATTTTTTTCAAGGAAATAATTAGAATTTTTAAGGAAAATTTATGTTTAGGATGGGTTACAGCCGAAAACATTGCGGACGAAAACGTCGCGGAGAAAAAAACGCAAGGCGAAAACGTCGTGCTACAAAACATCGTGGGAGAAAACATCGCAAAGAGAAAACATCGCAGTTCTAAAACATCGTGGTACAAAACATCGTCGTCGAAAATAAAGCGGTTAAAAAAACTTCGCATTTTAAAAACATCGCCGTCGAAAATATCGTGGTTAAAAAATAAAGTATCTACAAATCATCACATGACGATAACATCGCAGACATGCTTTTTTCAGGCATGCTTTAATAGTATAAATGGATATTCCCATAATGATTTGTGAGCGCAAGATGGAAAGAAGGATAATTTTTACTTTCATATTTTTTATTATAGCTAATAAATTTTTGCTGAGAAAATAAGAAGGAAACTTAAGCATAGAAAATTAATGCAACTTATAGCACTTAATACAATTTTAAACCGACATAGTTAACTAACAAAAGCCGTTAATAAATCATTTTTTATAAAGTTTTTACTGGTAATTTTTCAGGAAAAGTATAATCTGTAAGTTCCATTTAATTTTCTATGCCTTCTTACTTTTTCAGCAAAAATTTATTAGTCCAAAGGGATTTGAATCCCGAAGGACTATTAGTTTCGTTTTGGCATTTTTCGTCGGACGGATAAATGTCGGTCACTTTTCAAACTGTTGCCATAAAATGTTAGAGTCCTGCATTATATTTGAAGAAATTAAATAATGAAAAATCTGCATAAATGTATGTATATTTCTCGTATTGTGATAAAACAACGGTACATAGAGTCATCGAATTTTGAATAACGTAATCCTCCAACGAATATGAGCATGTGGAAGACCCAATTTGAAATTTGAAATTTGTTTTATGATCGATTTCCTATTTTTTAAAACTTTGACGAATTTTTGATTAACAAACTCAAGGATTTCAAAGCGAGCAATGGCAACGTTGTGCAGAAAAAACATTTTTATCTCCAGCGCGTGAGTCTCTGTATCGGAAATTCTAAAGATATGCTCGTTTTAAAACTATTTTGCGATATTGCTGTTGCACTGGATCTTATGGTTTAAGTGCGAGGAACATGATATTTAATAAAGAAAGGTAACACACAAAATGTTAAAAAACGCCCCTTTGGACGTAATTTAAAATCTGAAACATTTCAGATTTTTTTTTTTTTTTTAGTTATTATAAAAATGTGAAAGTAAAAATTATCCTTCTTTACATCTTGCGCTCACAAATCATTATGGAAATATCCATTTACAGTTATTAAAACTTGAAAAAAGCATGTCTACGATATTATTGTCATGCGATAATTTGTAGATACCTTATTTTTTACCACGATGTTTTTAAACTGCGAAGTTTTTGAACCGCTTTATTTTCGACGTCGATGTTTTGTACCGCGATGTTTTAGGACTGCGACGTTTTCTCTTTGCGATGTTTTCTCCCACGATGTTTTGTAGGTCGACGTTTTTGCCTTTTGGTAGTAATCTTCATCTAGCGTACTTTTTGGAATTACAGTTTACAATTTGGAATACAAAATTAGTACTTTTTGGAAATGAGAAATCTCTGATTTGAATTACTGCTAATGAATTTTTTGGGGTTTCAGAAGCGGATCCGAGCCTGAGAGACTACAGCGGAAAGAGGCCACTCAGTTACCTGGCAAAGAATCAAGCTGAGCGTAAGGATATTCCATCTTCAATAGATGATTCAAAGGGGTGTTCTCGCTTTTTTAATCGCTCCATGCACTATTCTCTTGCACGGAAAGAACGCTCGCACAACTTTTTCTGCTCCATGCGTTTAAGTTCTACTAGTAATGATGAGTTTGTTTGCATTCTATAACTGAAAGAACTATCTATGCTTTCTGGTCTATGAGTAATATTTCTCATTTAATATCTAATATATTTCCTTTTCAGTGTTTTCTATGCTTTTTACAATAGTCATGCTATACAGTCAAAAGTCGTTAATCCGGACTCGTCGGGACTTCGGCGATTCCGGATTATCGATTTTTCCGGATTATAGATCATCAGTTTAAATCTCGTAAGATGGCATGCAGAAATTCCAAAATTAAAAATATGAAACCGTAATTTATGAAATAAAGAACAATTATGATCTAAAGGGTATCAAAATTTACAAAAAAAAAAAAAAAAAGCTTAATATTTATTTGTTTACTTTATTAAACATTTCTTTCAATGTAAGTTGTTTATGTTGCTTCATTTTATGTGATAATACTTTCTCTTTAATTCTATAAACAGACGTAATTTCTTGTTCAGTTACAAAGTTCCGCTGTTCAAGTCTCGTTAATTGCTGTGCCGAGAATACCGACTAACTTGTCAATCGAAATTTTTTCGTTTTCACTAACCTCTCTGTCACATTCTTCATGTCTTTATCCATTTTTTGCAGCAATTCCACTTTTTGTTTGTTGGACATCGAAACATACTTTCATTTTGTAGATCCTTTGGAAAGTTCCAGCATCGGAAATTCTATTTGACATAATCGAAAGTTCAAGTTTACTTTTATAAAATTGCTCTTACAGTCTGCAAAAAATAATAAGCGGGATCCAATTCGAAGATTAAGGAACAACGCAATCATTAACATTAACTGAAATAGATAATTAGATAATTTTAGCTTACACCGTCCGTTATACATTAAACGCGCAGGCGAAAACGTATTCTGCGCTTGCGCACACGCATATGCGCAGTAGTCAATCTTACGCGCTCGCGTAAAACTGTGCATGTGCCAACGTGGCGCATGCGCAGAAGGTTTTTAGCTTTGAAGTCCGGGTTATAGATCATTCCGGATTATGGGTGTCCGAATTAACGACTTTTGACTGTATATCATTTCTTAGAAAACATAGTTAAATATGTGCGTTCGCATTTTGCATTATCTGAGCTGAAATATTAATAAATAATACGTGCATGAACTGTTATTAACAAGGTGTTACTGAATATTTAGCATGCAAGTTTTCCTAAATTGCTTAGTCTTTGTTTAGCATTCTCTGCCTTTGCTTCTGCATGTATTGTGTATTTCCTTGTCATACAGTATTTTTCGAATTCTTAAATTAAAAATTACTGTGAATTATTTTAAGTCATTTATGAATTTGTATTAGACTGTTATAAAAATTTATGAATTCTATTTTATTTATGAATGTATATTTCATATTTCCTATGATTCTCTTTGCAGATTAATACAAATTATATTTGTGTTGAATTTTAATGTTATTTTGTGTTATTAGTAAATGAATTCATATAATGTTGACTACTTTTATATAAACAGTAATAATTTATATTGGCATTTTGTGTTAAAAATCTTAATATTTTGCATATGTACACAGGTCTTTTTATGATGTTTACGTAAGGCTATAAGTAGATGAAATCAGAATACATTGTTTGTAGACAGGCTGGTCATAAAAAAACACTTGCCGGATAAAGGAATCCCTAGCGGCCTATTCGCTCACTTAATCGAAATGAAATTTCAGATATTGTTGTTGAAAAGTATGCGTTCGGGATTTTGATGGTTTAAAACAATAGAGCTCTCGCGATTATGGTGGCAGTGAAAAAATTTCGAAATTTTGGAATGGCCGAAATTTTTTTTCATGCGCAAATTGATCAGCACATTGAGAAACCATGAATGGAGTTGGAATGATACACGACTGAGGAAAATTGCCAGCTAAAACTTTTGCAAAGAGGAGCACTGTATAGAACTATTAACTCTTTCGCATCAAAGTCGCCCGTAACGCCCGTTCATTCAGGCAACGGCAAACCACCCCAACGCCTCGTTTATTTTCTACCTAGTGCTTTCCCCCTCCACGTTAGTGTATGGCTCATTGGTTTCGCGAGTTGTTAAGAGATATGTCAATCATTCTTTTGAAGCAACTAAAGGAGACATACGGAAAGCTATTAACGTTCGCAGGTGCAATCCGGCTCTAAGGTGAAACTGCACACAATGGATGAAACCGCTGAAAAACCCCCAAGAGAGAAACAGTCATTTCACTTAAGTAGGTGATTGTTAAAGCTGTAGCTATCTACCATGCAGGGGGAAAGGAAAACTATTCCAAGACAAATTCGTAAACACGGGCGTTTTCGATGTTTGCTGAAAACAGATTTGGGCGTCTCTCGATGCGAAAGAGTTAAAAGAGAAGATAAGAGATGGAGGGAGGAATTTTTATTGGAATTACAAGTTTTCACCATGCCCACCTTCGCAGACAATAATGCTCTGCATGCGGGAGACCCTTAACAACAATAACGAATGAACAAGGAATTTATATAATTTCATGCGTTATGTCATCTTCCAGTTCTGACACTTTCAGTTCAGTTCTGACAGATTTGTTTTATGACCACACTATAGTTAAACTAGCATTCATAGTATGCAGGACAAATGCCAGAATCTGTACATCTGTTGTGGCTGCACCACATGGCATTATTTAGGGCAAAAGATTTAGAATTTAATGAAGCACTGAGCAACAAAATATAGTACTGGCATTGGAGAGTAGAATTTAGGATAGCTAAATTTTAGAATTTAGGAAATCATCAGGCAGCAGATAAATGGAGGCAATGTATATGATTAGAACCAAAGAATTTTAAAAGCATCTGAAATTGTTTACTGTGGAAGAATATATATTTCAAAGCTTCAAATGTTAAAAACAAGTCAGCTAACAACTTTTAAAAGCTTTAGGTGCTGCTAAACTCTTTGGTTATGATAATTTATAATTATAATAATTAATAATTTTTGATGATTATTAATATTTCTTAATAGTAATAATGACATTTTTCACTTTCTTTATAATGGCGAAGAAAAATGGAAGTAATGTTGTACCTATATGCTTTATTTTAAAACATGCTAATTACAATACATAATGAGCCTAATAACAATACAGAATGAAATAAAATTCAGTATTTAATCTTCTTTGGCTGTCAAAATCAGCTGCAGCATTTGACACTCATGAGAATAAGTTTTTCTTTATTTAACACAACCATTCACCACTTTCATATGCAAACATGCTCTGTGCAATATAAATAAAAGCCAGTTTTCCTTAAAAAGTGTTTCATAAAAACATTCACTTTCCTAGCCAGATAGTCCTGGTATCATTTGCCTTCACCAATCAAGGGAAAATATGTGATGTTTTGATGAGGTTGCTAGATTACCTTACCTCAGCACTGTGTTCAAAACTGCTTATCTTTTGCTGTCAAATGAGCTTAATAGTGATTTTAGGAGGTTTCCCTCTACATAAAATTAAGAGTCCTAGAGTTTTGTTAAGATGTAGGACATTTTTAGGGCATATTGTTAAGAAATTTTTAAACGGAAAAACTGGTTAAGAAGAAAAGTTTTTTTTTTTTTTTTTTTTTTTTAAAGCAATAGAATAGTTATTGGTACATCCATAGTTTTCTGGACATTTAAATAAGCAATAATGTGCTTTGCATTGGTAAATAACAGATGTTAGTAACCAATTTAAAAACTACCAAGAACATTTAAAGAGGCAATTTATAGTTTTTCAGAATAGATTCAGTATTCAGCTGATATGTGCTGCTTTTAGTGCACATTAATGTACTTGTACTGATTCATTTACCATGAGATCAGTTAACTGATGTAGCCAGTACACTACTATCTGGATTGTATCAGATATATGTGCAATATGCGGCAAGAAATTAATACAGCTTTGGATTAGAAGATAGCATGGGATATTAGGATGAGGATGTTGAAATAAATAAAATAGCATTAAATTTAGTGAATAGTAAATAAAAAACCATTAGATAGTTTTGATCTAGTCGTAAGTGAAAAATCATTAGAATTAAAAAAATCTGATGTATACACCACATGACTTCCTTGTACGGAATATTAAATTATACGCATTTGTTTCTTGCATTTCTTTTAAACTTATTGGATTTAATTAAATCTACTTCGACGACAGCGCATAAACCACAATAGAATAAAGGCATTCTTTAAAATTCACTCTATTTGTTTAACATAGCGACACTCTGGCACTAGGTTCACTTAACAGTATTATATTTCCTTCATATTAAAAATCAGAATGCACAAAAAGTATATCATTTAAAGAATTATCTAATCGTTGCCACATGTTCTTTTCAAATACTATAATAAAGCTAGAACAATGTAAAAAAGAAATTAAGCAAACAAACAAACAAAACAAAAACAAAACAAAACAAACAAAACAAAAAAAAAAAAAAAAAAAAAAAAAAAAAAAACCAGTTTTTCACAAACGATTGAGTATTTCTCATTCAATTAATTCAGTTTTCACTTCGCGACAAGACAAAAATACATAAAAGCTCAAAATATCTATATTAAAAATTACTAATTATTAAAAATTAAGTAAATTTTAAACACTTATTTCCTGGAAAAAATTCCAGAAAGGATTAAGCATTATTTAATTCGCAATAATAAATGAAGTAGTTATTTTTGTTGTTGCGAAGCTTAGTCTCTCTAGATTGGCAACAAATCTACAATTCTGCTGTTTCAAATGTAAACAAATATGTCCGCCATGTTATTTAAAACTTAACCGCACTTAAACAGCTTTTAAATTGTTGTTAATTGTACAAATATTGCTTCCAGAATTACGAAAGGCATAAAAACCTTAACCGGAAGATAAGAACAACATAATTCAATCATTTTCAAAGCAAAAAATGTACAATTTACAAACATATAAGAGTAAAGAACACTGCGCCG